CACGCACGTGACATATATTGGGATGGTTAGTACATTATATAAACTTTTTTTTATAATCAATGGATGCCGGGACCAAATTACATATACCTCAATTAACGTTATTGATCGGGCCTGTATAGATCATAATAAATCATTAGTTTTTCACACTAGGGGAAGGACATCTCCAAGATCAAGATCTTTATCACCCGACTGAGAAAAAAAGTGAAGGGGAGTGAAAAAAAATAAATAAATTGGGAAAACCACGACCAGGGGGCAAACAAATAAAACTAGAAAAACGAGTGCGAATGTATAAAACGACGACACAGGGTAAATGCTAAACAAAAAATTAAAAACACGACAGCGAATAAAAACGACAAAGAAAGATAAAACGGCAATGAAGAGAACAGAAGACAACAAATGGGGAAAGCGATATCAGAAAGGGAAAACGACAACATGGAGGAAAATACAACGAAACAAAACAAAATATAGGGAATAACAGAAAGAAAATGGGTTCAAAAAGGACAATAAAAGAGAAAACGACAACAGAGGGGGAACAAAGATCATGACTGGATAAACGACGAAAAACAGGGAAAAAAAAAAGCGATGTATAGAATAAAACAACATTACAGGGAAAAGAGCAGAAAATAAGAAAAAGACGTGCTGAAAAAGGAGGGTAGTTTAGAAAACGACAAAAAAAATAAGAAACGACATCAAAGTAAAAAAAAAGAAACATAAGAAAACGACAAAAATTTTAAAAAGTAGAAAACGACAAATAAGGTGTAAAAAGTCAACAAAGTACTAAAAAGGCAGAAAATGCTAGAAACGACAAATTAAGGACAACAGCAAAACGACAATTTCGGGGCTAGAAAATAAAAGGAAAAGAACAAAAGAAAGAAATAGGGCAATACAGGGAAAATAATAACATACCAAGAACGACATACTAATGGTGAAAACGACAACGAAGGGAGAAACGACACAAGAAAGAGACAAAATGGTAAAGAGAAAGAAAACGACAACAAATAAAAATAATGCATTGAAAACCGTCTCCTTCCTTCTTAAACCAGAAACTACTCCTCGTTGTGCTATAGAAACCCGAGAAAGCTGAACGCTGACAACTACAATTTGACACAAATTAGAACAGCGATCAAAACACAAAACAAATCTAAGGGACCAATATAAAGAAAATAGAAAATAGCAACACTATAAATTACAGAAGAAAACATAACTAGAGGAGACAAACAAATGCCGATCTTCTAAGAGCCCTAAATAACAGCTTTTCCCACAAATTCTTTTAACAAAGCCAAGATGTGAGACCAGATTAAATGAATTTTTTTATAAAAAAAGAAAAAGAAAAAAAGCATCATCGTCCAATATGATAGAGCCATATAGCTTGTGGCTTTTTGCACAAACGTTTAACACGTGCACTAAGCACTTCATAATTGAACTATGTAATAAGTTAAAATCAATCATATAACATCAAATGTGATACAGAAATATCATAGCATTTACTTCGTAATTATATTACGTAATTAGTTTAAAAACAAAAAACAAAAACAATCGAATAGCATCATATGCACATGTTAGCAAAACTAGTGGTGACAATGACGAGCCGTGGCACCTAACATTTTAGTTGAAGTAATGTATAGTCTACGAGTCTACGTGGAAATGTGTGTAGTTATGTCAAAAACTAGACATCTCAAACATTCCTGTCTTTTTCTTTTTCTTTTTTTTTTTTTTTTTTTTTTTTTTTTTTTTTTGGGGGTAGTGAATGGTGTGGGGGAGGATCAATGGCAAGTAGCCAAGAAACATGATAATAAAGAGGGTGTGGACAGTGGAGCCATGACACGTGCATTTGGGGACCTCACAAGCTTCCTCTAAATTAGACCAATTCTTTGAGTAGCAACTACCAAGAAGCAAATATACATATACATCTCCCCTGCCCCAAACCTATCAAATTTTCGTTACTGGACCAACACATATCATTCACATCACAGTTTAGTTTTTTTTTTTTTTTTTTTTTTTTTTTTTTTTACCCCTTTTTTTTTTTTTTTTTTTTTTTTTTTTTTTTTTTTTTTGA